AAGCCGTAAAGCCGTAGGAAATTAACCAACTACAGTCGATTATTTTTCTCATATGTAACTGTGATTATTTTCTTAAGGCTTTACGGCTTAGGGCTTCTTAAAGCGAGGTTGTAGACCCAGCCTTAAGCAACGGCGTGCTTCCCCTCTTGCCTTTCCTGCCGGCGCATCCATCGTTTGACAACATTTGACAAATTGGGCCGGGCTATACCTCGAGCGGCCGGAACCGTTTCTATTCTTTCTGTCGGCGCGCTCTCATTAGTACAATTATAAACTTTAATATCTCGATTATTATTACGGATATCGCTAAACAGTAAAGGACTTTTATGTTTATTTCGATCCCATCTACCTTCCTGTGGGGGGGATTGGAAAAGTCTCACTGGATACCCTGTATATTATATATACGCCACCTGCTGTTCAACTGCGGAGTTCAGGAAAATTACAGTGATTTTACATGAGTGAAATCATCTACCCAGAGAAATGAAATCGACATCGATTCGACATCGGTTTCATTGTCATTTCTCACTGAGTATTTCTTACACCGTGGAATGGACTGTGCGATCCGTATGTCAAAATAGTCTACAAAAGTGAGAGGAACTGTGGAAGATAGCTAATCTCTATCTTTTTCTATTCAACGGTGAAGTTGTGATTAGAAAGAGAGGAAGATTAGTTGTCTTCTACGGTCCCTCTCTCTCATTGTTGTCGACATTTGAATACTATTTAAATACAGACCGCGGAATCTATTCTTTATGTTTCTTTAGTTATGTTTATATATCTCTTATGGCTGTTCTACAATGTGCTTTTTGTTTCCTAGTTCTTGCTGTTTGTCTCTTGTTTTTTTAATCAAGAAGACAAGAGACAAACAGCAAGAAACAGGAAACAATAAGCACATTGTAGAATAGCCATTATACAGGGTGAGGAAAAAATATGGAAACCCTGAAAAATCTCAAAAAATATAAGTTTCACAGAAAAATGTTTCAAATAAAAGTTGTAGGATTTAAAAAAGTCTATTCAATAGTCTCATCAGTTTGATCCTGACTGGCGTCGTTGAGGTCAAGTCAAAGTCACGTTGAATTTTTTAAATGGAACACCCTATTTTTTATTGCATATTCTCATAGCACATCTCGAGAG